GTTATGACGTTGCATGTACTCGCTCGCTTACTTGTGCATTGTTGTTCCAATGCTTCCGGTTATCCGGTCTGAGAACAATTCCAGTCGCCAAGGCTTGTTTCATACCGACTACCGATGTCGCCAGCTTTTGTTTTGCAGTCTGGTTATCTATCTAGTGTGTATGTTAATTCAAAGTCATTATTGCTGCCTGTGAACATGACGTACCTACAGAAAACATTGTAGCAAGCAAAAACACTACCATTTTGCCAACCCTGTCATTTTATACTAAGCACATGTCTGACAAACACAGCGAGTGTGTCACGTTGAATTATTGACAATTCCTCGTGTGTTTTATAATTATTTAAATATGACAAAACAACGCGGGACATCCACGGTGGTACTCAATGTCGTTTTCAGTTCTGATGAATATATATAGAAAAATAATTGACTCGTCTTCAATCACCTGTAGCCAACGTAGCATAACTGGCTCGCGCATACGACCCAGCTGGATTTCGAGACTGTCCAACGACTGTAATGGTTTTAAAAAAATCGGCAGAAATCCATCTGATCATTATTAACAGAAAAAAAAAAGCTTCCAACAGTTACATATGTGCGTTTGCAGCTCGCCACTCTCCAAAAAAATTTGGTATACGATTATTGCGCGTTTTGCCGTAAGTTTTCATGGCAATTGGACTTGGTCCAGAGTGTGTGTGTGTGTATTTAGTATATTTTACTGGTCCATTATGGTCACTTATTACCGCTGACAGGCAGAAACGCCCGGGCCGAGCTTTGGCATTTATTTATTAGACGGTCTTTACACGGAGCGAGACAAGAGTTGTTTGGGGGAAAAGAGAGAAGGAAAATTACTCGAAAATCTCGTTTTTTAAAACACTTCTAGGCGTAGGCCGTATAAAACGTCGGACATTTCATATTATTAATACATTACACCGCGAGATAACACACCTGGCCGGCATTTGACCTCGACCACGTTAATTAAGAGAGTAAAATTGTGTAATCGCTGAATAAAAATAAAAACCCACCGAAAATTCACTGGCCATAATATGGAAACTGCGCGTTTTCTTTTCTATCCAAATTACAGATTGCATACAGTCATACACGTATATTATTTAACGCATTCATACCCGTTTGAATATCGTTAACTCGTCGTCTCTATGATCTATATGGGCTCGTTTCAATATACTTGTATATTCCACGCCGGTGAACGCGCGCGAACACACCTATTATTAACAAAAACATAGAAAAACCTTGTGGAAAATTTATGATGATAATAATAATAATAATTGTAATCCAATATAATACGCGTGTAGGTATACCTACGGCAGAAGGTTGTGCGCAACAAGGTAATTGAAAAACGACTAAGGTCAATTTAGGCATTTAGCTTAGCCACGCCACGACTGTATGTAATATACATAATATAAATACCGTTACACTAGATAAATGCATTGATTAAATTGGCTGTAATGCAGGTATCTGACGAACGGTCAGTATAATTTAATAACAACATAATAATATAGAATTAATTTTATGAAAACGTTTAAACGGTAACGCTAAAAACTATTGAAGGCTACGAATTATATAACATATTTAGTCAATTGTAAACACATGACAGACTTGTATCTTTGTATTTAATTTAAAAATTGTATTTTAAAAAAGATACTTTATGTTTCAAGTTTAATTTGTATATATCGAGGGCCAAGGCAGAGTAAACAAAAATGTCAGTCAAAGTCGGTGTACATTCTCAGAGTTGGAATTAACAACTTAAAATAATATTGTACTGGCGGTGTTTGTCGATAAATATTTCTTTTCTTTGTTGTTATTATTTTTTTTTTTTGCTTCCAACACCGTTTATCCATTATTTCCAATAAGAGGATTACTTAATTAAACGTGTATTAAAACTTGGTCTGTGTGTGTGTGTGTGTTGGCGAATTAGAGAAACGCGAAAACTTATATGACATGATAAATGGACCGAAACCGTGTGTGTATCGTTTGAAATCGTAGAATATTAAAAGTTCTTGTACGGTAATCGATCAAGTAAACCCCCTTGGGGTGTTTGGCGAAACGCGGGGACGGCAAATTTTGCCCGAAACTACCAAACTGATTTAGCCATCAAAATGTCATTTGGAAGAATATTATTCACCGAAACAACTCGATACGAATTACTTTGTCAAAAACGTGGTCGCTCGAGTCCATTCGGGACGAACGAATTTGTTTTTTTTTTTTTTAAATAAATGCAAAATATTATATAGATGTATTATATTATTATATCTGTCAAAGCTAATGCACTCGTATTACTTGTTTTTGGAAAACGTTTACCCACTCACGTGCTCGGATTTTAATGAAAATCCACTGTCCGGATGCGCTCTGAATGTCTAATCGGCTGTAAGCCAAAAACGTTATGGTGTCTTGTTCTAGAAAACAAGATATACCTATATATATATATATATATATATATCACCTACATATTGTGGACAGGAAAAAAAAATTAACCCTGGACTTTTGGTCCATTATTTTTTTTTTTCTAACTTGAATTATAGTAAAAATCAAGTAATCGCCTATTTTTCAAATTTACTATTACAATATTTATCCTTAAGTTTTGTTTTATATAAATTATTTACACAGTTAACTAATACGATTCAATATTACACAACAGCTAAGGAGACAAAACGGCAAAGACAAAAGTGTCCATGCGTTGTACTTGTCGTTTATTGCAAACAACAACATTGGTGTTTATCTTAAGTGATTTGTTTTTCTTGGTCTTTTTCAATAGTAAATCGGCCGACTGTCATGACTGACCTACGGGTTCGTACATTTTGCGTAAAGGGTATCCAAAGCTCTGTACCTAACAGGTCGGCCGGTTATCTCGACCGTGTCTGACCCGGGAGAGTGAGCGTACATGCATTTATACTTATATTACATTATAGCGGTGACACCCGCCAGGACGGGCCAGATACCGGAAAATGCGTGCGATCACGTTTTGCAAAATTTCCAAACCCCGGTAAAGACTTGGAAAGAAAAAAAAAAAAAAAGTCGTGACAACATTCATCTCAACGCAACCGCATTATGGGTATACCCTGAAATAGCTGTCACAAGTCCAGAATCCTACAAGTGCACAGTAATAACTATTGATATTCCAACAAACACATTTTGTACTGCAACATCAGAAACAGATATTGTATTATTCCAAGAGCTTAGGCGATTAACTTAATTTTGATTTTGGAACGGTCAAACCGGCCGTTTACACGGTACAATGTATATTCTTATTGGATTTGTCAATACGGGTTTTGTATTCCCCCCGCAGGCGTCCTACAATATTGAACATTAACACCATTTTGATATTTTTCTCTTAACACGTTTTTTCTAATATTTGTTTCCGTACTTAGGAGGTCGCCTTCGGCCTCCGTCCACCTTGTCACAAAACTAAATATAAACAACACGATTAAAGCTAGACGACAACAGCCGTGTTAATCGCGTTTTGTAATTTTCAGTATCATAACTGTAGTACATTATTTCAATTATATAGAACAACAGGCATACTGTTGATGCGTTCAGGCAAACAAGTACGGATCAGCCCAAATTATAAAATATATAAAATCAATATTATATTTCATCCGTTTAGAAATGATTATTATTATTATTATTGTATTGTACACTGTATTCAGATGGACGATGACTAGATTCTAATATTATATTTGTATTTCATAATAGTTTTACCGCTAAAAACCGTTGCCAAAAATATTAGGTATGTTGACAATAAAATATTCCTTAGCGTTGCCTGTCGTTCATTTCCATCTACTTGTACACAATAATACATAACCTATTCAACCGGATCTACAATTTAAAAAACGTTTAGCCGGAGTTGAAAAAAATATATAAATAAACAAAAAATTATCATAAACGTTTCGAAACCGTGTGTACACTTGTCATTGTCGGATAATATAAAGTAATGTATAAATAATTATTGTACACACCAAACGGGCCGTTTGCAAAATCGTTACATCTATGTGGACTACGCGGAGGTTAACTACTATCGGACGCCAACTGTGTTTCGTTTTAAAGTTGGGCAAAAAAAAAGTAAATCCAATGACCATCGATCGGTGACAATATTATTGCGTCCACAACACTTAACCGATCCTAAATTCCTAACCTAACCGGTCTTACGTGTGGGATAGCGCCGCTGTGTGTTTGAACGCTATATTACATGTTTGTTATCAAAGGAAAAGCAATTGAGAAAAAAAATCACAAAACAATCAAAAACCACCCCCATGCAATTATTTGACAGCCATAATACAATCCTTCTGGTGTAGGACACCCATTTTCTAGGGACAATATAATATACTTAAAAACGTCTTGTGAAATTGGGCATGACTTAAGCCGCGTAAGTCATCTGTAATCGACTGTTTGTCTACTGAAAAATCTTATAACTTGACTTACACCGAGACCGTCCACTTGTAACTACAAGACGTATAGGAAGAAAATAATCTAAAAAAATATTCATATTTTCCGAGGAAGTTAACGTTTTGCGTCAGATGGATCGCCCTGTACACATGACAGCCACAGCAGATACCGCGCGGCCGGTGAAAGGCGTACGCTCGGTGTGAACGCCGACCACGGCATGGGCCGCAGGGACTGAGGACTATGGATGAGACGGCCTGTGCCAACGCGTTTACCGCCAACCGGATTGATCGCGACTGATCGACATGGATCATTTTCTCGGTCGGTCCGTCGAAACGACAACAAGTGTCGTTGACAATAATATTATTGATGTGTCACCGTTGTTGTTTGCCATTGCGCAACACAGACCTCGGTGCAAAACCCGGTCTAGAAAGTAGGTCTCCCTCTCCGCGCGTCTCTCCCTTGCGGCCGGCAACCGAACCGGCGGACTCACGGTGGTGGTCCCGGGGTCGTCCACAACGGCTAGCCGGTCGGCGGGCGGGCCGGGGAGCAGAACTCGTCCACTTCCATTTTGGGCGGTTGACACTACAAAACCGTCGGTCCCTGGTGATCTACAGTCATTCAGTCGGTTGGCTCACACGACAACTGTGGTTAATTTCGATAATCTCAACTTCGGTGTGTGCCAGTTTATATCACAAAACACTATCATGAAGGGCTATTTGTACGCGTTGTGCGTGCTCGGTGTTTGCGCTTACGCGTTCGCCGCGGACGACAAAGTCGCCGCCGCCGCCGCCGAAGACAAGGGCCAGGACAAAACCCACAACAAAAGAAGCCTCGGACTGGGCTTAGGATTCGGTTTGGGCGGTGCGGAATACGGACCGGCCTTCGGTTCGGGATTAGGGCTGAGATCGTCGTTGGACTATGCCGCCGGTGATTACGGCTTGGGCTTGGCGTCGTCCAGGCTGTCCTACGGAGGAGGTTACGGTTACGGAGCCGGTGCCGCTTATGGGTTCGGCGGCGGCGCCTTGTTGGAAGCGCCCAGCAGAGTCATCTCGAAAACCGTTCTCAAGGAGGTCGCTCAACCGTACCCGGTGCCCGTGGAAAAGCACGTGCCCTACCCCGTTAACGTGCCCGTGGCCGTGGACAGGCCGTACCCCGTGCACGTGCCCAGACCGTACCCGGTGCACGTCGAGAGAGCCGTACCGTACCCCGTGAAAGTGGGAGTCCCGCAACCGTACCCCGTCTACAAGAACGTCCCGTACCCGGTCAAGGTGCCCGTCGACAGGCCGTACCCGGTGGACGTGCCCAAACCGTACCCCGTAGTGGTCGAGAAACGCGTGCCGTACACCGTGGAGAAACACGTGCCTTACCCGGTGCACGTACCGGTAGACAGGCCGTACACCGTGCACGTGCCGGTGGAGAAACGCGTACCGTACCCGGTTGAGAAGCCGGTGCCTTACCCGGTGCAAGTCCCAGTGGACCGCCCGTACCCGGTCACCGTCGAGAAGCACGTCCCGTACCCGGTAGAGAAGCCCGTGCCGTATCCAGTGGAGAAGGCCGTGCCGTACCCGGTCAGCTATCCGGTCCACGTCGGAGTCCCGTACCCGGTCGAACAACGTGTGGCCATTCCAGCTCCGGTCGTCCACGAAGCCCCGGTCATTGCCGCCGCACCCGCTCCAATCATAGCCGCTGAGCCGCTCAACGATTGCGAACCGGCCGATGCCTGGAAGAAGTAAAGAGAAGCGGTAAACTGCAACGGCATGACTTGATTGTGTTCAAACACACATACAACTTAGACAATCAAAATCTAGATATGTATTTTTAACCTTAACACGTAAGATACTGTTATACATATCTCATCGTTCATTTCATCACCGCAACTATATACGTAATAATGATATATATTGTTATAATATTAGATCTCAAATGTACAAAAGTTGTGTCGCAACTTTTTGGAATGCCGCTAAAAGGTCGTTTGTGATATCGCCAAACACTCATTGTACTTGAACAAAAAATACATATTTTAATTATAATAATAATTGTATTATACAAACCGATAAAATGTTCAACACTGTTACACAAACAATGTTATACGTATGTTTAAATATATTTTTTTTTGTATACTATGTAAAACCACGTTTTTGTTCTATTTGTCGGCGATAGTTTTCCTAATTGATAATTATTTCCTTTATTCGTTGGTGTGTGTTTACAAAACATTTACAAAATACCATTAAGATAATATCTAACAACGTTAATGGTTAAACATTACATACAAGCGGTAAGTACGACAGAACGTTCCTGAAATCGTACGCCTTAACACAATCATTTTAAAACGTATTCTCCTATTTAGAAAACATATTATTAAAAAAAAAAATAATATAAATTCGGTAAGTAAACGACGAAAACGGTAAAAAAATACATTTCAGTGTTAAGCTTTGTAAAAATGGTAGTGTTGTTATCAGAGTTAAAAAATATTAAAAAAGGTATCTATAATACTTTCAAAAACGTTTGAGAAAAACTGTTTTCCTGGCAGTATATTGACATACAACAACGGTGCGACATGTTCTTCTCTTGTTCTATCCAACGACCATGAGAAGGTATAGCCTATAGGAATTTTAATTTCCATACATGTGTACCAGTGTAAATTAAACGTTAACGACACCGGTTTTGGTAACGACATCAATTAGTATTGCAATAACAGTCATACACAAACTTTTAAATAAACAAAATCATTAAAATTAACATAACCGACAGTGGTTATAATGTCTATTAAAATAAAAATAATCGTAGTCGCCAGATGTTTTCTTTTAATCGGATGCAAAGACACATAAGGTCCAAAATAAATTACACAATCCGGCAACGGCAGACAAAATAATCTGTCATTGATGAATCCGCTTTGAAAATATCAAGGTGTAGACTTAAGAGTTGGTCATGGAAAAAACCATATTATTTATTTATGGGGAAAAAAAATAGGTGAGTTTCTAATAACGCGTAGAATCTATTATCTCGACAAACGGGCTAATAAAATACAATATTGCGACTTAAACTATTTTTTGACTACCCAAAAAATCATGATTGTTGCAACTTGCAAATCGTACCTATTCAATGTGGTGGTCTACCCACTCTTATTTTCAACACTTTTTTTATACGGTCAAAACGCATTTTATTATTTTGTTAAAAAAAACACAATATTCATATATTTATGCACTGGTATTAGTTTTCAGAGCGACTTGGACCGACCCTGTCCTACATAATAGGTATATATATATATATAATGTTGCGGTCAACCAAGGTACGTTGCTTTATATATATATATATACATATTTTACCTTATTCAATACTATTTCGTTACAATAATAATATTGTTTGTGTAATATAATCTTCTCGCGCCATCCATATAAAAAATATTGGCCTAGCACAGTGTATGTGACCTCAATAAGGATCGCATTTACACATATTATATGTACTTATATTATATAGTTGGACTGCAAGTAAAATATTTTTATATTATTCTTATGCAGGTAATCGGCTCTTTGAACGGCTCATGTTATACTTAGGTCTTATACTTTTTTGGCGTGGCAAGGGGGGTGGGTTTTTTTTTAATAAAATACAATAAGAGAATGGACGTTGACACCGCACGTCAAAAAGTTGCCTCTCACCACCACCCCCCCCCCCCCCCAAAGAGCCGGAATTGCTCTTTTTTTTCTCCTACCGAGTGTTCTCCCTCGACGGTATTTTTTTTTATTTATTAATTTATACGTGTATAATATGGTATAGTTCTTATTTTTTTTTATTTGCCCCACTGCTTTACGCTATCTCGGTTGCAATTCTATTTTCGCGCTTCGTTGTAGTTTGAATCGTTAAGCCGATTACATTTCTTCGGTTCACTCGCCGTTATTGTGTAATGGATACGACGGTGCTAGAGATGAGGGAGGAAAAAACTAAAAGGAAATTTGCAACGCCAACAACTGTTCTGACTCGCACAAAAGGGACGAGCAGATTGGCGCTGAAACATTTCTATTAGGAGGGTCAGTGTCCCTACGCGAGAGTGTAAAAATTTAAACTTGAAAAAATTCAAAATTCATAATTGATAATAACTAATAACTTCGGTTGACAGGCAGCAGCTTGAAGTTAAACGGTTAGGCTATGATTTACTTGTGACTCAATCAATAATATTTCACTCACAAATTATAAATCATTTTTTTTATCGCTGTTTAAAAAAAAAATGTATCTTTTTTGCGGTTACTTAATTTTAGAAACGTTTACAAAATAATTAACTAGACCGCTCTACGGCAGTACAATATTTGTGTGCGTTTCATTCTGGAATATAAAAAAAAGTAATTAACAGCAATAAGCGATTCGAGTGATTTTTATTAAAATATTTCAAACCAACTGTGTACTATATTGACTAAGTTATTTCGAAGTAATTACAAAAACGTCTAGGACGACAACTTTTCAATTTAACGTCGATTCTAATTAAACCCCGATTGATTACTTAAGATTTATTACTTATGTATATTTTAACTAGTTGCTCTCGATTGAAATTCTTGGGAATAAATTAAAAACGCCCAGCTATAATATGTCAATCTGTCGATAAACCGTTAAGTCCAAGTAGAAAACACTCGAGTTTTAAATTGGTTGAATTATTTTCTGTTCCTTGTAAACGATCAAGATGTATAAATGCCAATACCAAATTAAATCACTATAGGTAATTTTTTGTACAGTTAAAAACAGAAATGAGTGTGCTATCAAATAAAAAATATAAGTATAAATCATTATCATAATTTATTTACAAAAGATGTAAACGACGGAATGCATAATGTGTTATCTTGGTCGTTTTGTGAAATTCATTAGCTGTAAAGTTATTTATGTTATAATTTGTAAACAAGATTTCTCTTTGGATAACGTGGACAGCAATTTCAGCAACTAATCGTCCTATTTTTTTTTATTTTTTTAAAGCGCATTACCAAACACCAATAAAACATATCTAATAATATTGAGACTAGACATTTGGACAATTAGCATAATTGCTTACCGCGTAAAGATCAAGGCTTGGAGTGAACTACTTGATTTAAATATATTATTAATAATGCATTACTATTTGGGATTTTAAAATAAAATTCAAATGTTGTTCCAGGGTCACAGTAGCTCCAATCGATAAGCTGTCTTAATTAATACTTAATATTTTTACATTAAAAAAAAAAAAAACAAGTTTACCTGTAATGACTTTTAGTACTGTTCAATAAATGTAAAAAAACAAATCAATTCACTTGTAACGTTGTTGCGATAATTATAACATGTATTTAAACAATGAATTGTAATAGTACAATAATTATTATTAGACAAATGTACAATATAATATGACAAATTAAGATGGTATAGGTATTACTTAAACTACCTACTGAATAAACATCCACGCTTTAAGTGTTTCTTAAACAGACTTGTTTTTTCATTAAACAATATAACAGTTAAGGTCAATATTTGTTTGTCATATCCGTCCTGCGATTTCAAGTCAAGATAGAACAGCCGTTGTACTCTATTCCTGGACAGACAGTAACATATTATAATATTATAAGAAATACACTATTCTCACTTCTGCAACGGTTTCTCGCGATCTTAACGTTACCTAACTGGAACAAAAGGCTACTAAGGATTGAACAGCGGTACGACCAAAATATCAAAGCGGTGTGCAGTTGCTTTGCTTTGGGAAGGAGGAGGTGTGCGAGAGTCCTTAAGGGTCATCCGGGACACTCGAGTAAGGACTCTAGCGCACCTCCTTTGGGGTGGTGCGAAGGGTATGATTATAATAAAGCGCAGCACGACGAGAATCGTCAAACAGGTATTAGTCATACTACGGTCGCGATTAGATTCGACCTCGGCAATGACCGACCGCGGTGACCGCCGACCTGCTGCGGGGAGAACCTCCCCCCCAAAAAAAAAAAAAAAGCGCGCGGTGGGAATTTTCAAAATCCTAATAGGGGGTGCGGTGTTAAAATCGAATAACTCTCGCCCGACAGATGAGGGTCAAAGAAAGAGAATGTGTGGTGTGTGTCAATCAACGAGCAAATCATTTTAAATATGCACTAGGAGGGTGGAAAAATTACCGGAGAGGACCTGCCACTCGTCCCCGGCGGACTGTCGCACTCCGATAAAGCCAGGGAAACGGGAAATACCATCAGCGCTACCTTATTGTATGTGTATATATATATATATATATATATACATGCTCGCTCATCGAAAAATAGGCGTGCGGTTCAAACACACACACACCCTCGGCCGTTTAAACTCAATTACCGTTATATACTACGCCTATAAGGGTCTGTACTGTCATATTATACGGTATGTAACGCGTCGGATGACTGGAATTTTTTTTTTTTTTTTAGTCATCCCGGCCAAAGGGTCCTTAGCTGTTGGGAAATCTAAAACACACGGGCTACCGTTTTGAAATTTAAGCTTGTGTTATTGATGCCTCCGTGCGCCCTCAGTACGCTGGGATGGGCAAAATACAGTATCTTTTCGACTAAATACAGAATATACAAGATACACAATCTGTAATGGTTAATAATAATTGATTTTTTTTTTTATTATATAACATTTTTATACTTGGCAAACTTACATTACATGTATGTTAGTAATACTTCTCGTTCTTGGCAATGTATTTGATTTAAAAAAAATAGATAGCATTAGTTTTAAAAAATATATTAAAGTCTTAATATTTAATGTAAGTCATTAATACAAAGTAAAAGCATAATGAATAATAAAAAAAATTAATTTCCCTCGATTAGCACTCGATTGCTTACCAATATAAGAAAATAGTGATGTAAGTACTAAGTTTATAAAAATAATACCGAATATAAATTATATTAAAAAAATAAACACAGTCAAAACGAAAAATAATAATTCTCTTTGTATCAACAACTTAGTTAGTCGATATATACTTAGAAAAAAATCACAGTCTCATTATGTCATCAAGTAATGTAATATTGCACTATTTTATTCTACATTATGAGCAGAGCTGTGAATTTAATGCACTAAAAAACAAATATGCAAAGAAAAAAGTACTAAAAATTTAGCTTTAATTTTTTAATATTTTTAATACTATAAATTATATTATAGTCTATAATAATTAGTGAAATTTTAGCTAATATTACAAATCAAGTCTTACGATTTATGAGTAATAAACTCTTGGTTGCTTCTTAAGAACATTTACGTTTTTTAAATACTTTATCGGATAATTTAGATCTAGCAAATGAAAAAAGCGTTTCAACATGAGCTGCTGACAATATGTACAATGTATTTTCTATATCCCTGCGTGTGTACCTAACCCAAGTCGTTGACCCGTGCGACTAGCCGAGTCTGCCGGCTGTGACATTTTCGGTATCGCGCAACGGCTATAGCAGGTATAGGTATTGTCTTAGGCATGTGCATATACCAACACCGGTATAGTTACTCAATCGGAACGCGGAATGCAAAAACTTATATATCATTATATACCTCGTATATACACACAAGACGCCGACAATTATTATTATAACGATTCGAGACTGGAACGCTTATTGTATTATATTATATTATATACAATTATCGTATCAACCCGGTTAGGTAGGTCACAAACACAATATAATATTTCAAGTGTTAGCTGGGGCGACTTACTGGCCGCGTCGTAAATTAAAAGAAAACCGTTTTGGCATGTTGCATATTATATCAATATAATATACTGGACTCGATGGCCGATAATACCCACGGTATTTCAATAGACATACCATTACACACGTGGTAATATGTATATTATATTGTTGACCAACGTCGGGAACTAAACGATATATCGACGCTATTGTCTTATGACGGTTCAAGGCGCAAGAACGTCGTTGAAATAAAAGATTACGTGATCTGGTATAATTAAAAAAAAAACGTTTAGAATCTAATAAGTTGACAGATTTACCAAAGTATAAGTAGTTGCGCGATTTAACACATAAACTCAATGAAAAAAAAAAAACAATAAATTTCAATAATCATACATCATTTATCAACCCTTAATAAAACCCTTTATGCATATGGAGAAAAAAAATACTGTCAATACGATAAAATGTAAACTATCACTCTGATTAAATTGACAAACAGCCGAATTTTTGATTAATTATTTACTAACTAATGGTACAATATATTTGGGGGGTGGGGGCGGTTTAAGTATAGCAACTTTTGGACTTTGAATTGTCAGAGCGAAACCAAGAGGATAAAGGTCGAAAGGAAGACGGCGTTGTTCTTGTAAAAGTCACCCGCCGGTTACGATTTGGAGATAATTAATTATTAATTAATTCGTACAGCGGCGATCGATTAATTCTATTCGGGCGACGATTAGCTAATGACCGCGGCCGGTAGCCGCCAAACGGGTCGATGACTCGTATTGGTCGGGCACGGCGCCGTGCACGATATGCACGGTACACATGCATGCGGCCGCGGCGATCTTGTTGTAATAACAACAACGACCACAACGTGCGCGACGCGTGTTGACCTTGTCGGGTTTTACTTTTTTTCAGCGAACCGTAATCGTTTCTTCCCGGTGTCGTCACGACAACGTTATATTATTATCATTGTGCGCACCGATTATGATTGTGCACGGGGAGAGAAGTAAAAAAGTCGTTTCAGGTGTGTGTGTGTGTGTGTGACACTGAATGGACTCTAGAAAGTAGGTCTCGCGCGCGCGGCGGCGGGGTGGGAGCACAAACCGGGTTCGTCGGCGGACACTACAAAACCGGCGGATTTCAATGGACAGCACTCATTCGGTCGTTCCAATCTGTAAATCGAGCAACAACACACATCATGAAAACGGCAATATTCGCAGTGTGCGCGTTCGGGTTGTGCGCCTACGCCCTGGCCGCCGAGCAGCCGGCCAAAGACGGCGACAAGAAGAAGTCGGCCGACGACAAGACGCAAGGCAAGAGAAGCCTGTTCGACACCGACTACGGTTACGGCGCCAGCAGCTACGGCTCCAGCGGTTACGGAGATTTGAGCGGCTACGGACTGGGCGCGAGCTACGGCGGCGGTTACAGCGATGGCTACAGCAGCGGTTACGGCAGCAGTTACGGTAGCGGTTACAGCAGCGGTTACGGCAGCGGTTACGGATACGAGCACGTGCCCACCAAGGTGATCACCAAGGGCGTGTCGGTGCCGTACCCGGTGGAAGTGAACAGACCCGTGCCGTACCCCGTCAAAGTGGCCGTGCCGGTCGACAGGCCGTACCCCGTGGACGTGCCCCAGCCGTACACCGTGCACGTGGAGAAGCCGTATCCCGTGAAGGTGCCAGTCGCCGAACCGTACCCAGTGGTCAAGGAAGTGCCGGTGGCCGTCAAGGTTCCGGTCGACAGGCCATACCCGGTGCACGTAGAGAAGCCGTACCCGGTGTACGTGACCAAGGAAGTGCCATACCCCGTGGAGAAGAACATCCCGGTGCCCGTCAAGGTGCCAGTCGACAGACCGTACCCCGTGCACGTGCCAGTCGAGAAAATCGTGCCGTACCCGGTCGAGAAGCCCGTCCACTACCCCGTCAAAGTGCCAGTCGACCGCCCGTACCCGGTGCATGTGATCAAGAAGATCCCGTACCCGGTCGAAAAGCCCGTGCCGTACCCAGTTGAACACGTCGTGCCTTACCCGGTCAAAGTTCCTGTGAAAGTCGCCGTGCCAGTGCCATACGCCGTCAAGACCTACCACCACGAACCGGTATACCACTCCGAGCCCAGCTACAGTCACAGTTACAGTAACAGTTACCACGGTAGCAGTTACCCCAGTAGCAGTTACCACGGTAGCAGTTACCACGGTAGCAGTGGAGGATACTGAAAACAACCGCTCACGCTAGTCACGCTCAATCCATTTGCCGGTTACCAATACACAGTATTACAATATATATATATTTATACTCATAGTTTACTTTGCCAAGTTACCACGGCTGTAATTATAGGTATTCGAGCGTTTTCGACTTTTTCAAACGAAAATCAAAATTTAGCCTCAAACGTATTTTTAAGTAGAATAATTCGAAAACTCAACTATACCCAACATCTAAATAGTGTTGTACAATTATATTACTGTAATCGTCATTCATCGTTGTTCAATCAAACACAAATTATATTATGATTTTTAGATCTCCAATGTTCGCGTACAATTATTATTATAGTTGACACTCTGGGCCATTGCAATGTACGTTAAATATTATAATATTATTATTGATAATCATTTTATTATTGTATTTCAGCTCAAATATATATATATATTCATAATACCTATCAACTTGTTTGTAAATAACTGTACAAACCACAAAAACTATAATATGATATGCGCGTTATTGTAAAACGTCGATAATGTTGTGTGTACTCATTAATAAAATACATTTATTTTTTTTTCAATTTAATTGTTAGTACTATAATCATTAGTAGGTACAATATCAGCCAAAAACGAATTCATTTTTTAATCCTATTAATTGTACGGTTTATAAGACTGTAAGATTATATTGAAAAGGTGTGCAAAAAATGCAAACAACAATACAAATTTATTTTTAAAAAAACTGTAATGAAAATAATATGTGTAGACCAAAACAAAGGTGTGTTACTTGTTTTTTATAATAACAAGTGTTTAATCATCCATAGGTAGCCATGTCACTAGGTATTTTCTGTAATATAGATGATGCATTTGAGAAGTAAGTAACCTATAACTATTAATTTACTTATACATATATATTTGTATAATGCAAATTATTGAGTAGCCATAAAATGTACTAAGTATCTCTACATAAAAATGTATGTTTTTTTTAATGGCTGCACAGTTTGTAGACTGTAATATTCAGCTCTAGGCGAACTGACTAATAATAGTACCCCATTTCAAATTAATTACCTTTTAATCATTGTTAAATTAGGAAATGAAATATTACGACATTTAAAAGCTAAAAAAATATTTATGTAGTGTTTTAAAAGAATACCACATAAGTACCCACTTAGGCGACTAATGTTTTTTAGTCAGGGCTACATTTTTATTCATAATAATATAGTCATTAGTACACATGTTAGAACGCTAAAAAACATTCCATATGGCATGTGCTTAAAAAAACTATATTGGTGTTACTCAAGAAAACATTAAAAAAATATTATGGCCCTTTTAATAATTAGTGTAATTCAGTGTTGTGGGTATTGCTAAACTACTTAACAACCTTCACATATGAAGTAAACTACATTGGGTTAAAAACGTTATGAAAAAAACATGTTATGACTATTGTCGTTCGGGGTTTTGATGTTTCATTCCTCTAAGTGTAAAACAACACATAGGTATTGCGTAGACCGTATCTTAGGTATGGTTAAATGAGCATATTATTGTAGATACACATTCTGAATGTTTAACAATTCAAAAAGTCAGGTTGGAAAACTGCAACGTTAAAGCCGCGCCCGGCTTTTGAATGGAATCGAGTACAAGTTATGTAAAACTGTTTCTGCCAAGGTTTGCCGGACCGCGTTGAATGTACAATGTACAATATACATAGAAAACACAAGTACTCGTTCTAGTCCACGCCAATTAGAGTTGGAAATATCTGTTGGAGTGCTGGATTTTTATGATAATAACTCTTATATAAGTGACCTCTGTTCCCACGGAGTAGCATGTGATTTATCTATTTAAAATTTAACTAAAAAAAAAAAAACATATAATTATAACACGTTAAGGTTAATTACTGATTTACATTGATTATCAAATGAAACCCTTTCGCTTTTAAATCATAAACTAGTTCGACCGATCAGTTATATTACTTTGGTCAAAACAAATACACGCGAAACTTTACTGAAATTTAGGCTTATTATTAGAGATTTATTAGCTGACATATAAGTGATATAACATGCTATGTTTTAAATTTATCTATCGTTTAATATACCTAATTATTTAAAAAAAAAAAAACAAGTCTAGAATAATAAATATAATATTCATAAATGTCATACAGCCACTTAAAGACAAACTTGAAGGTTAGTTATTTAGTAGGTTAATGTTTGTCAAATTTCAACCATAACTCTTGTCAACTACTATTTTATACTTTATATTCGGTTTTATAGAATCTGGTCGTTGACCAGTTTTCAATACTTATTAAAACTCCTTTGTGCGCGGGGGCCCGTTTATCATAACCGAGAATCATAGCTGCATTTCACCAAGAGAGATTGTAAGAAAAAATAAAACTATCCGCCTTTACTCTGTGATGATTTTTATAATATATTATCGCATAAGGCCACTTAAATCTGCTTTTAGCACGCCATTGCCGTGTGCTCTTTTACAAGTGGATAGTATCATATATAAATCAACTTACTAGACTAGTTAACTAGCGACGGCCCGTTAAATGTGTTCAAAAAGCATTTGCGGTGAAATTAATTCGAAGCGGTGCTCGTAAACAACAATAAAAACGTCACCGACAGTGTTTTAAAAATAATAATAATAATTACAATCTAAAATTATAAATCCACGTGTAATTGCACTCGAAAACCGGGAAGCGACATTTACTTTTTTTTTACCGCAGCAATTCGAGCTTGGAAATTATGGGCATGCCTTTTTATTGTTATCTAACAACAATGTTGCAGTTTTTCCTGTTTTTTTTTTTTTTTTTTGCACAAGTCTGGAATAATAATAATTGTTATCATTTACTACAATATAAACGTCTCGGGAAATTAATACAATATAATATATTATATTTACTCGACAAAAAAAATTTAAATCACATTATACGAGATTAATAATTGAACCCAGTGTGACATTGAGTGGCCCCCGTGATAAACATAAACTAACTATAATCATAACCTAACTATATGGAATAATATTTAATAGTTTTTTTTTTTTTTTTTCGTTAAATTACAAAATACATTATTATACATTGTGTTACTCTATGTTGATAATAACGTACCGTGACTAATTAATCGACTGCTATATATTTGTTGCGCTTGTTGTGCTGCACTTGTAAAAAACCATCACAATCATAAGACGGTATACGACCAGCATTAACGAGATAACAGTGTCTCATACCTTATAAGATTATGAAATTTTTTTCTTAAAACATTTTCCAAAATAATTAACGCAAACTAATTAATTAACGGCGTACGACTGTAACAAAAAATAATTAATTATAAAACAATGAAAATTTTTGTTTAAAAATTATTTTATGTGTTCATTGTTCATTTTTTTTTTTTTTTTGTGGGGGAAAATCTGACCTAGTTTTACACGCAGTCGATATTTGATAATTACAATCACTCGTGTGATCTTTGAGAAATTTTGAAATTCAAAAAATGATTCGCAACGAAGACCGGACTGCGAGTAGGGCGGCCTCGCCTCCAGGCCGTTTCTTAGGTGTTCACAGATTTCAGTAACACGCATACATAGGCATGTCAGAAAATTGGTGTATTTATATAATTATTTTAAACGCACTTGACACACACAGTGACATTGCAATCTTACCAAATTCCAAAACGCATTCCGAAATCGTGCACCGACCGCGGTATACTTATTGGCTTTATAGTCCCGTGTCTTCGGTGTGGCACTCTCCTATACTCACATTGTTATCTCGTCTTCTTATTTGCTTGTATCGTGTTTTGATACGTACGTTAACTCAAATCCATATATAGTCGCGGTTTCGAATGATCAGCTGTTATCCTTGGGAAAGCTCGTTTAAAGAGACCATTTGGGCCTTGCGAACGACTTTTGTTTTCGTTCGAAGGCCGCGTTGTACATCTTGAGATATTCAACTAAGTATAACAGGGGGGGGGGAGGATCTTCAAGACTCCACGGAATGGACAACGCTGTTTATTTATCGTTCTATAATCAGTTTATAATACTATAGCTACCGGTCTCGACACTATATAATAGGCATGTGTATAAATCTTGATCAGGCCGTACATAACAAATAGCCAACAAAAATATTATATAAAGTCGAGTAAAATGAAATTGAAAAACACACACACTCGCACGCGCATGGTAATGCTAAATAGTTATCGTTACTTATTTATACTACACCGGTTTTCGCATCATTCTAGTTTGTTGTTTTTACTACCTGAATTTTTAGGTTTTAATGTAATAATAATACTACTGGCGTTGGGTTGCATAAAGGATTGAATAATATTACATTTAATGGACCAATTAAATTATGTTTAAAGAACCCTTAAACACATCTATTGGTTCACTTTGAACGTTTATGCAACCCGGCAGAAGAGTCTTGAAGAAAATTGCACATATTTTGTCACCGATGTCACTAGCTATAAGAGAGTATTTTTTTTTGTTTTATTACCATTTACTTGTTTTAATCGTGTCAAACGATTGCCGCACATTATACTAAATGGGTCCATACGGCGCATCCGATAGATCTGAAATAAAATAAACAAGTACACTTACTGGGGGCAAAAAAAAAAAAAGAAATGCTTTGAAATCATTTTTCAACGTTTGTACTATGTTATGTGCAACGACCAATGTGATTTGCCGACAACCTAAATTACACACGCGGTCGTTTAATAAAAATAATACCATTATATTGGTTGCAAAATATAATATTATATTCGAAAGCGACACGGTGATGCTTAAAAGCTTAAAAATAATATGTTATATTTCACAAGGAGATCAAAAGTAACGAAATGTCGAACATATTTTTATGGTTTTTTTCGTTAGAATTCATTTTTTTTCTTTTTCTTATAATTACTCTGTTATTATACTCCAGCATAAGTGTAATTATAAGACGGTTTTGACCAGTGTAAGCTATTTTTAGCTGGCCGTCAAAGGATGCCCACGTGATAATAGTATGCTAGCCAGTAGCCACACAAGACCGCATCTCCGTCAGGTCCTTCACCCGATACCGTCTTATGTTATTATCGTCTCGGGCAACGCACACGGCCGGTGCAATCTTACATACACCGTCGCTCTAATTAATTCATTATGCGTGGCGGCATAAGTGTTGCAATCCATACATACCTACGCAACGACAACAACAATAAACGATGGTGAAAAAAAAAACTAGACTGACCGGTAACCAGATATTTGAATCTGGCCTTAGGCACTAATACCTACAGTTAAGATTGTTTACCACTGTCCAGAAAAGCTGTACTTTAATGCGGTACCAAATAACACTACACTAGTACTAGCCGGCCAAGAGCTAGAGGCGATAGTAAATTGTTTTTTTTTTTATTAATTATTACGAATAAAATAATCGGTTGTTAAACGCGCTAAAGTATGTGTACCGATGACTTGATCAAATTAAGATGCCAAGTAAACACTGTATCAGATTAATCGTATGTATAATAAGATTAGACACACGTCCAGTGCCCACGGGCGACCGCCAAATCTTGTACTTCTTTAACACACCTGTGTTTAATTCACTTAGTTAACGGTTGAAATAATGATTTAATTTTTATCATCTAGGAGGCTTAATAGATTAGTTTAACCCTTCGGAAACAATTATGACTGTTGTGGCAGCGTTAATTGATTTTCGGCGGCTGATACAATTCGCTTGCTCGTTTAGTACATTAACATAATACAAGAATGTTGAAAATTGTAAGCCGCCATTAAAAGTTAGTTACACGCAGCTCGCAGCAATAATTAAAAGTCCCTATTGAACAAGATACAAACATTTGCTTGTCGAGTTAGGTTTCAAGCGAACGTACCGGGGACGTTAACCCGTGTAAACTCGCTCACGGCGCTAATAAGAGTAATTATTCCCAACTAACCTGACGGCGATTAAACAGGAAACCGCGGTAATTAGTATTGGATTAACGTTTACACTTTTTTTTTTTGTGTAAAATAGGTTAGAGAAGATTACGCGCGCGCACTACACGTAATTCCGACGTATGTATTATTAAAATATGCTGACAAATATAACAATAATAATGAATAGAAAAAAACATCTTTCACGTACTGCATAACTGGTCCACGTTGGATGTGTTCATCATCGCGGCAACGCCATGTAATAGCCATTACATGGCGTGTAACCGGCCTGCCGCCGCCGCCGCTGTACGCAGAAGAAAGTAACAATATAATATTGTTCGCGCCGGCCGAAGAGAGGGGAATGGAGATTCTACTTCCTCTGTTCGCCGGCGGTCACTACAAAAGCACAAGACGACATCTGACAGTCATCAGTCAATCGTTTTCGGTGTAATCCAACAACAACAACAATGAAGGGTCTCGCGTATTCGGTGTGCGTTCTCGGGCTGTGCGCCTACGCGTTTGGCGCGGACGACAAGAAGAAAGAAGAAGACGGCGCCGACAAGACCCAGAACAAGAGAGGCATCTTCGACCAGGGTTACGGTTACGGTTCCGAATATGGCTACGAACACGAGGTGGGCGGCGGCGGCGACTACCACCATCACGACCACGGTAAGGTCCTTTCCAAAACCATCATCAAAGAAATAGCGCAACCCTACCCCGTCGAGGTCAAGAAACACGTGCCGTACCCCGTCAAGGTGCACGTTCCCGTGGACAGGCCGTACCCCGTGCACGTGCCCAAGCCGTACCCGGTGCACGTGGCCAAACCCGTGCCCTACGAAGTCAAAGTCAAGGTGCCGCAACCGTACACCGTCTACAAGCACGTGCCGTATCCCGTCAAGGTGCCCGTCGACAAACCGTACCCGGTTCACGTGCCCCAACCCTACACCGTGTACGTCGAGAAGCGCGTCCCGTACGAGGTCAAGAAGCACGTCCCGTATCCCGTGAAGGTCCCGGTGGACAGGCCATACACCGTTCACGTGCCCGTCGAGAAACACGTCCCGTATCCGGTGGACAAACCAGTGCCTTACCCGGTCAAGGTTCCCGTCGACCGCCCTTACCCGGTCACCGTAGAGAAGCACGTCCCGTACCCGGTGGAGAAGCCGGTCCCGTACACAGTCGAGAAGCACGTGCCTTACCCCGTCAAAGTCCCAGTTAAAGTCCAAGTACCAGTTCCTTACGAAGAACACCACGACCATCACGAAGAACATCAACCCGAAGAACAGTCTTATGGAAAATACGAACATGAAGAAAGCGGATATTAAACAGATATTATTTTAAGACACCTAGTCCTTACCTTGTATTAAGATAGAAATGTATACTTATAAAAAAGAATTTTATTTTTATATGATTTGATTTGTGCATTATTACGTTTTAATTTGTACATATACTTATTAAAAATATATTTAAGCATTTTTTTTTACATATTTGCCTTCAGTTTTTATTTTACTTTATTTACCCGTCTGAATATACTAATAGTGCCTACAAACTGTAAATAAACATTTGTATGAATAGTGTGATGATTATATTTTGAAATTCACTAAAGCTCAAGTCACAACTCGCCGACGATTGATAATGTCATTTTTTTTTATATAATAGAGTACATACAAAAAAAAACTTAGAAGAAACATTAAAATGCACTGACTACAGTTTAATGATGTTAATTTTTTATTTAGACAATTATTCGCACAAAAGTAAAATTTTATACTAAAATCAATTTAATTTGTTCACATTTTTAAAATAATAAAATACAATACTAATAGCCGATGGTTCCATTTGACTTAGAGATTTAATAACAGAAGAATGGTTGTCTTAAGAACATAATTAAATACCTTTAAGCGTTCTAAAGTTATTGTCATAGTATTTGCATAACAAAAATGCCCATAATCAATACTTAATCGATAAAACTGAATTACTAGTATCTAAATGGAATAACTAGATACATAAACACTGAAGCGATTTAAAAAAAACATACTCAAACCAACTGTCTGATAGGTTACAGTTTATAAATAATATGAAATGATTACTTATACAAGGTATACTGTACAATATTATTCAATTCCATAAAAAACAGGATACACACAGTATTAATTGTCATAGTTTATACATGATAATATTTTTAAATATATTAACATTGTTCTAAAATAATCGACAAACGTTGAGCTTAAAGATAGACTACTGATAGGTTGTTTTTTTGAAAAAAATTTAGTTATTTTACTAAGTTAGTAATACTAATAACTTAGTAATTTATTCAACAATATTTATATTAGACTTAATATGAAACATAAATTATTCGTAGTCTTGCTTGTAAAGTATTGTGGTCTAATATTTAGGGCCACACAAAGTAGACAGGAAAATTGTGTCCACGACAATAACAATTATAGGGCTATAATCATAATGAAAAACCCCCTTAGTTAGTAAGCCAAAAGAGTAAACTATGTTTTTTAATGATTTTTTACCAGTAAAAATATGTATGTAGGTTGTTTACCTATTACTTATTAGATAAAAAAAAATAATTAAAATAATACATAACATAAATAATGTATAAAATGTTATAATATTTACAGGCACCTAAATAGTAAACATATTACATTTTTATCTCAACAGCTATAACGGTATGGTTAAATTAAATGCAATAAATTAAACTACCTAATAATAATTTAGATTACAATCTCAAAACTTGAAACATGTGTACTTACCTGACAACTCGACCGTAACCAAACATTGTATAATTAATATGTTCTTATTAAGTAACAATTATTTCAGTGTGTAGGTAATAATGTACGTATGTAAATTACGTACATGTTTGTTATTATATATTATTGTGTTTTTCGATTATTAATTATATAAGAAAAAGCTCGCTAGTGATCCCAAAGAAAACATTAAATTGAATATAATACATATAACATTTGATTTAATTTATTATATGCCCAAAACTGCGTTCGATAGAAAATCGCTTTATGACTTTTTTATTTAAATTTAGAAGATAATCAATTAGAATGTGTTATATTTCACTTCCGCCAATAAAACTACACTCTGATCAATTGGGCAATCGAAATTAAATCACGGACCAACTAATTAGTGCGCACCGACGCGACGATTTACCCGAAAATATATTGTGACATTTACGACATGCGATTATGTGACACTGTGGATAAGAATAATTAGAAAGTAGATCACCGTGGGTGACAGTGGGGAGTAGGTATAGATATAATAGCTATTTGCATCCTGGACACTGGTTCCTACAAAAGCTACAGAATCCGGCGGACGGCCATCAGTCGATTAGGTCCGTTCAAGTAGAAAGAAAATGAAATCCGTTCTGTATTATTTGTGCGCGTTCGGACTGTGCGCTCATTGTTTGGGCGCGGCGGATGCACACGACCAGAACAAGCCCGTCGAGGAACCCGAACATGAGGCGTCCAAAGCGGCCGACGGCAAGACCCTGGGTAAAAGGGATCTCTACGACTTGGGTTACGGTTCCAGCTACGGGCCCGGTGGTGGTTTCGACTTCGAGCATACGGTAAGTGGACACGACTTTCCGCGTTACGGCCACGGCAAGGTGTTGTCCAAGACCATCGTCAAAGAGGTGGCCCGACCGTATCCCGTCGAGGTGGAGAAACACGTGCCGTACCCCGTCAAGGTCCGCGTTCCCGTGGACAAACCGTATCCCGTGCTCGTGCCCAAGCCGTACCCGTGCACGTGGCCAAACCCGTGCCCTACGAAGTCAAAGTCAAGGTGCCGCGACCGTACACCGTCTACAGGCACGTGCCGTATCCCGTCAAGGTGCCCGTCGACAGGCCGTACCCAGTGCACGTGCCCAAACCGTATCCCGTCTTCGTCGAAAAGCACGTCCCGTACGAGGTCGAGAAGCACGTCCCGTATCCCGTAGAGGTCCCGGTGGACAGGCCCTACACCGTGCACGTGCCGGTCGAGAAACACGTCCCGTATCCAATAGACAAACCGGTGCCTTATCCGGTCAAGGTTCCCGTCGACCGCCCTTACCAGGTCACCGTAGAGAAGCACGTCCCGTACCCGGTGGAGAAGCCGGTGCCGTACCCAGTCGAGAAGCACGTGCCTTATCCCGTCAAAGTGCCAGTTAAGGTCGAAGTGCCAGTTCCTCACGAGGAACACCACGACCATCACGAAGACTATCGTCACGATGAAGTAACGTCTGAAGAACAGTCGCAAGGAGAAGGAGACCAACAAGAAGACTACCAAAACAAGCAACAAAATGACTACCAAAACAACCAACAAGAAGACTACCAAAACAAGCAACAAGATGACTACCAAAACAACCAACAAGAAGACTACCAAAACAATCAATCGGAACACGGTAGCTATTAACGTTTGTAATACATGTTGACTATTTATTGTAATTGTCGTACCTTGTACCAATTTGTATTACCTTGTTATGAACAACATTACCTCATTTGTAAAAAGATTATATTGGAAAGATTTGTTATTTAATTTTTTTATTAAGAACTAAATCAAAATACAAAGACTTAATTTATGTAAATTCAATAAGGTAGTTGTTTATTACAATTTATTGTAATAATTATTTGTTCGTTATTGAATTTAAGTACATTGTAGGAGTTGTGTAATTTAGTATCATAATTTTGCATATTATTATGTTTCGATTTGCGTGAATTTGTGCTCATTGATTTCTATAATCATGTATTATATGTTATAATAATTATTATTGATTATGTTTTATATTGTACACTACTTTTTTTTACCATTGTAATGTATAAATATATAGTATTGTATTACATAATTTTAATAATACGGTGTACATATTTTATTTCAATTACAAATTTAATATAAGTCATAAAGTAGAGCCATTGAAAAATATAATTTGCTCACCTTTCTATTTAGCAATACCATATAACGACATTGACTTAATGCAGTGTTATCCACAATTCACATAAAAGTATGACAATTTAAAAAATCACAATCACAATCAATAACTTTGAATTGAAGACGCCGGTTTTACTTAATTTGAAAATAAATATTTAAATGTTTCAACATATTTTAGACAGCAGCAGTAATATTATTATATTATATAACAATAAAGTCATTAAAAGGTTTAACGATAATTTAAAAAAAAAAAACAAAAGTTATGTCATTTGTTTTGGTGTTTTTATTCTTATTAGACTGAAATATTAGCACATTTTATGGATTTTATTACTCAATTTCTTACATCAAATTTGATTTAAATTCAATGACAGAAGTAAAAAAAAAAAAAAATTAGGTGTTATTAAAAAAATGACTGTCAATAATCCGATAATAATATGTATGTTTATTTCTGATCAATGAGAGTGGTACCTTAAGTTATTAGTTAAGTAATAGTTGTATGTCTATTACTTAAGAAATCTTAGAAGGAATTAACAGTATAAATTATTTTTGTTTAAAACGTTATACATTGTGATATAACATAAAGATAATAAATTAATTCGTACATTTTACACAATAGAAACGGACCTTTTTACCGCTTAGGGCAAACAAACCATTGAATATGTATAAGTGTATACCTAGTGTACATACGAAATGAAGGTGAGAGAGGATGCGGTATGCGTGTGGGCAATTAATTTAAGGTAAGTCGTAAATGATCAAAACGAGCAGTTGTTTTGTTGATAACTTATCACTTCTAACAAACGAATGAGTTAATAAAATATGTTTGTTGAAAATTAAAACGAGATATCTGACCTGGGTAAAAATGCGTTTAGCCAAAATTTGATTTATAACAAATTGTGTACAAAATAAACGTATAATATCGAATTCTATCAAAAATGTAATAACGTTATATTTTTACTCGTGCTAACAATTTATGTAAATACATTTTCGTTTAAGGCGATAATAACAACAACAAGTGACCTTTGTATGCACGTCACATCTATAAATATACCCAGAAATTGTCTGCACTTGACTAGTACTAGAGATTATTTAAATATTCTTATTTAAAAATAAACGCGTGTACACAAGAGATAAAACTCGTTTTAATTTTTTTTTTCATACATAAATAGTTTATTTGATTAAATACTTTCGTTAGCATAGAATATCAGCTGTTGGCTTATTTTAAAGCCGGTTAAAGAAAATATGTGGTCTATGCGGTGGTCGTGGGCAATTTTTTTTAGTTTCTTTTTTTAAAGGAATATGTTTATGTAACATGGTGGTTTATTCCGCGAGTTTTGACTTTTGTGAAATTCTCACAGGCAAATTTAACCACAAAGTCCAAACTTATAGTGCAAAAATATCTTAGAAGATGTTTAAAAAATATATATATGTACTTTACACGCATTAAGTGCCCCTCTGGGTATTGCTTAAGATACTGACAATAATTCCGAAAACTTATCAATAAACACATGTTTCGTGTGCGCAAAGTGTTGCGTTGTTTTGGATATCGCAACAAAACGATACGCACCATACGATATGAGACTAATTATTCGAAAATAACGATATTGTTTGTTCTTGTGTGTGTGTGTGTGTGTGTGGACAATGCGCAATTACTGTTCAATGTTACGATGCGCACGAAAAGTCATGAGGATAGATCTCACAACCGTTGAAAGTAGGTCTCGGGCGACGGTGTGGAGGAGTGGGATCGTCCAAAAGGACTTCTCTTGCCGATTGCGGCGTTGCTACAAAACACTGCGGCTCCGGCGCAACACCATCAGTCGATCGATCCCATTCGAATCGAACAACAACAGTACCTAACAACAACAACAACAACACCAACAGTTAATATGAGGAGCATACTGTACACGGTGTGCATCGCGGGCGTGTGCGCTTGTGCCGTCGCAGGGCTAGACGAACCGGTCAAACGGGCGGAAGAGAAGACCGCGGCGGCGACGGAGAGTAAACCGGTAACCGCCGGGGCCGACGACAAGGCCCACAGCAAAAGAGGCCTGTTCGACTTGGGCTACGGTTACGGGTCCGGTTACGGGTACGAGTACGAAGCGGGCGGCGGACACGACAGCTACCAGCACTACGACCACGGCAAGGTGTTGTCCAAGACCATCATCAAAGAAGTGGCCCAGCCGTATCCCGTCGAGGTGGAGAAACACGTGCCGTACCCCGTCAAGGTGCACGTTCCCGTGGACAGGCCGTACCCCGTGCACGTGCCCAAGCCGTACCCGGTGCACGTGGAGAAGCCCGTGCCCTACGAAGTCAAAGTCAAGGTGCCGCAACCGTACACCGTCTACAAGCACGTGCCGTATCCAGTCAAAGTGCCCGTCGACAGGCCGTACCCCGTGCACGTGCCCAAACCGTACCCCGTCTACGTCGAGAAGCACGTCCCGTACGAGGTCAAGAAGCACGTCCCGTACCCCGTGAAGGTCCCGGTGGACAGGCCTTACACCGTGCACGTGCCCGTCGAGAAACACGTCCCGTACCCGGTGGACAAACCAGTGCCTTACCCGGTCAAAGTTCCCGTCGACCGCCCTTACCCGGTCACCGTAGAGAAGCACGTGCCGTACCCGGTGGAGAAGCCGGTCCCGTACACGGTCGAGAAGCACGTGCCTTACCCAGTCAAAGTTCCCATCAAAGTTCCCGTGCCAGTGCCTTACGAAGAACACCACGACCACCACCACGACCACCACTACGACCACCACGACGAACACCACTACGACAGCTATTGACGAGATAATAAGTATACTATTTCGAGTTACCTTGTTCGATTACCAATTGAAAACCTATGCTGATTTTGTACCTATTTTTTTTTTAACTTAATAAATATTATTTTTTATTATAAATGTGACATATTACTTTTTTTATTTACAAAGTTTTTTTTATATTTGCAGTTGCTCCTCGCGTAGTCGCTTACACAGTATAGTGACACCGCCCTATAATATTATTATATGAACAGGTAAAGTTACTTTGACACAACCGTACGTGTTGACCAAACGTAATATTAATGAATAACTTCCTATTCGTTTACCCGTCCACGGCTCTACTTTTACTCGTGTAATTTCGTATAAAGCCTATACTAATTTTAATTAACAATCCAGAACTCGATAATTTATTTAAACGTTTTTTTTTTACGGGCAATGCCATAACGACATGTTCTTTTAGTGCTGGAGAAACTATATTATGTATTTTTTTTTCGTATAATTAAAAAAATAGTCAATTATAAGAATGCTTAAAAATAGAAAATTGTCCTTAAAGGTTAACCCTTAACTTGGCAAGGGCTAATTTTTAAACATAAAACATAGTATTGTACTTTTTATGTTGGTCGTGTAAAGTTATATTATATAAAATGTATCTTACGTAGGCTGCACCGAGATACATTGCCAAGTCGAGGGTTAGGGAAATCATTTATAAGAATACCAATAGTAGATTGTCCGTTTTCACTGAAATGGGGCGGTTTGTTCAATGGTAACGATCATGTGGCAGCTAAAGTGTCTCCGAAGACTGACATAGACAATGTCTTTAATCAATGTGATATGACAATTATTATTGTAAATAGATTTCACCAATTATTTCCACTGGCTTTAAACTGTCGGTAAATGCTTTTGTGGACCAAACCGAATACCTTTTGGTCGTAACTCTCGCCCAAACGACACAAACGAACGGCGCATCGTGTCTGGTCATAACTCACCGGGTCGCACATTAACGCGTCACGTCTCTCTGACGGTGTTGTTAATGCGATTTACGGTTTAGTGCTTATGGCCGGCAGACGTAAGACGTTATAATATTATGCCCGGTCGCGTGCTCGCGTTTACAAGAAGCCAACGAAGATGCCACAGCGCAGAAACCGGCTAGTTTTTTTTTTTTTTGACACACGTTCATTTATAATAATTGGCCGATTCGTGTTTTGTCATCGCCTTAATGTACGTTTTATGTAATCGCAAAACCTTGAACGCCTTCCGTTTATTTTTTCAAAAATCTTTTTAACAATATTTGCGCTAGTCTGAGGCCCGCAGACAGTGACTGGCACAACAACAACAACAGTAGCAGTCCTTCAGCACAATGTATACTGTAGACACTATGGTCTACAGACATATTTTATTTGTATTTAGTGATGTTTAAAAAAACCTATCAATTTTAAAGGTTTGCATAATCGTACGGATCGCATTATCTGGTTTATTATATTTGCAAATACCTTTTGTTGGCGTCCGGTAACCAAAGAGACACTTCCTTAGGTTGGAAATAATACAAAAAATAAATTATAAAGTTGGCCTAACAAAACTTTGTCGAGTTGCGATTTTCATCAAAGGTGTTATTGAAACACAATGGCGATTACTCATTATACATTGAAACTGCTGACCCAAAACAATTTTTAAAATATTTCTAAAATATATTAATTTTATACTAACAGGGGTTAGTATGAAATTAATGTATTTTAAACGGAGAGATCAAATTGTATAATTTTACAGCGTTCTACGACATTTTTTGAATAACGTTTATTACTTAATTAGGTATACCTCTAATAATAGAAAATCTTAAACCAGATTTGAAGCTGAACACTATAACTATTGTTTTAACCTATCGAACCAATGTTTTTTTTTTTTTTTTTACAAATTATTCGAAACCGTAGGTGTAAAACCGCGGTTTCGGATAAACATATTATCTTATAACGTGCAATGTGTGTTTTCTTCAAATTCTATTGTTATTATTTTAATTATCGCAACGCACTCGCCTGCTACATTATCATTACTATTATCATCAATAGTGTGACGAAATCTGACCACGGACGAACTCGCTTGCCGTCATCGCGGTCTGATGTTAATCTCGTGCGAGCATATTATACAATTCCTGTGTGTGTGTGTGTGTGTGTGTACATAATAATAAGATATACAAATACATATGTGTGTGTGTGTGTGTGCCCATATAAACCTCTTATCCGTGAGAAACGCCAAGCTATATACCTATGTATAGCCGCGCACGACCGTTGACCGGTTCTACTCTACTTAGCGCACAGGTCGATATAATATGTATTATATATATATATTATGTATGTGTGTGTACACTCATATAAGTATTATAATAATATACTGACTGCCAGTACTTGCTGTCGTTTTTTTTTTGTTTTTAATGGCTCGCCTGACTAGGATGACTTAGAAGCGGAGTATGTATGTACACAAGTCTAAGATGTAAACAAATAATTAATCGCATTGCGCAACCGTTGGTTTTTGTCGAGTTATAGATTTTTTTCTTTTTTTTTTTTGTCAACGTCTTAAGTGTAATAATAATATTATCGGCCGAACGGACTACCTTTGACGCAAGAAGGAAAACCGACAGGCAAAAAAAAAACAACCTTCCAATCCATTTGTGTACTGATGTCGTCCTGATCACTCTTTTCCACGGAGATCAAACGAATTACATAATATCATAATATGTATAGGACAAAAATTAAGTAACACAGTCGTTCGGTCGGGTCGAAGAATTTAATTACCATAAATAGACTGTCCGCTTCCTGGTGTTTTATGATTATAATATATAATATATGGGCGGTAATGGATAATCACATATTACCTCACATTGTGCAAATAAATGACATTAAAAAAAATATCTGATTTTTATTTTTTAGACAGTTTTCTTAAATGAAAACTTCATGCATTTTTGCATCTTAAATTGTTCTTTAGTAAGTTCAACAATTGAACACCCTTTAAAGTTTTCAAGTGTTTTTTTAAACAGTATTTTTTTTTTTTTTACAGATCTACTCATAAAACGATAATAGCAAACTATTAAATTTAAACGTTATCGCTATGTTGATAATATATAAAAATTAAAATGAGTGCTGGTACCACTTGTATAGGTTGAGAAATCAAACTAGAAACGTTATTTGAACCCAATTATTTAAGAGTCGCTTTAAAAAAAAAGCGATTAAAATGTGATAATGAAAATTTAATTAAAAACACTCGATATTATGTTTCACGGATGTGTTAGTTGTGGTCAAGTGTGTCAGACAGATGCCTGACACAGTTTAACGCAGCAATCAGATGAATGTTATGAAATTGTTTAAAACATATACCTACACCGAATGTGTTTTTTTGGATTTACTGTAATACACTCTCTTTGAGTGTTTAAGATTGAGAAATCAGTTCGATCATCATCATCATCGGCCTCTAAGGCCCAACGCTGCCGCGGATTCGCCGATTTAAATTTAAGATGATCCAGAAAAGTGTTGGGTTTACTCGTACAGCTTACCTTTCAAAAATCGGTATAGTTTTGCACGCTAATCGGTTTTTCACTTAAGTTTACCCGTATTTTTTTTTTAAATTATTACTTTTGCCAAACATATTATTCCAAGACAATATATTTTAACGACTATAATAAGTACATAAAAAAAAACAATTAATTCTGTGTACACAGTAATCCAAAAATGATAAATCTATTTGATGTAGATATCAAACCTAACCTAACCTATAACTATAACTATGTATATATATATATATATATATCACTATTTATGATTATTTCGGCTGAACAGTATATGCACATATTTTTAGAGTTAACGTTTACATAATTTCTACTATCATAAATATATGCAAGTGTCAAGCGATTCGTTTTGCGGTAACATACCGACGTGCATAGGAAAAAAGAACAGAGCTTCCTTAAAAAAATTTGATTAATACACTCCGGGTGGCTGATACGACTTGAAGAGTTCACGATTTCATAACCGTAACAAGAAAAGAAAAAAAAAGGAATATTTAACCGAAAAAAAAAACCAGAATTCTCAAGCCGGCTCTACAAAAACGGGGAAGAAGATTAATTATTGACTCATTGAACGTTATACGAATATTAAATTATATTAAAAGAATTTATAAAAAAAAAAAAAAAAATAGTAATAATTCAACGCGTTACGAGCGCTGATTATAAATGGCTTCTAACTTATAAATTACAAGTACAAGATATAATATAATATGATATTATTATATAATATACTATTTTCTACCGCGTTTCCTAATCAATGACACGGGCAAAATTATACTTAAGAAAGCGCAATGAGCGTTCACGGGTACGCTTCGAATGTAGGTATGTTAAATATTACCCATCGCCATAATATGCGAGTATAGTGGTTTTGTCTTTCTCATACTCTTGTCTCAAAATTACACAATTTCTCAAAAACTCAAAAGCGCTTAACTAGTGCAAAGCTAGACGCGGATTTTTCAGTTTAGCCTGTCCGTTTAGCATAATAATAATATGTAACTAATACAATATTGTAACATCACACCCTCAGACTTTACCATCAAGTTTACTATACTATTATGTCATTGAGATCTCGTTTTATAAATGCATATCGTGTTGTGCGCATAAAAATGATTATTATTTAACCGAGTTCACGTGGTAGTCACGGAAACATAAGAAACCAGTCTGAAGGTTACTGACCGACTTTGCTCCAAAAAACTCGAGTAAAAACGGACGAACGGGTTATAATAAAAGTAAACGTGATACAGTTGTTTTATTTGGAATCATGAATGAAATTTCACCGGCCGAATATTATAATACTGTGGATTTGTTTGGCCATTATAAGTAAAAAAAAAATAATTGTCCAGCATTGCGTAATAACGCAATATACTTATAAGTTATAACTAGCGGGTACGACTTAGTATTACAAATGTTCGGTTTATTATAGTGGACAAGAGAAGAAAATATTATCTACTAAATTATAGTTTTACTCGAGCATTGCATGTATGTATAATATATTCGTTACGGGTTAAAGCTTGGTCTAAACAAATTAACACGGTTAAACTCGTTCCGTTTGTAGCAACTGTATCATAATCAGCTACACAATTTAAAAAAAAACTTTTTTTTTTTTTAGTAAAAATTGATCGAATACGACAATATTTACTATATTTTTATTATAATATTATGTTAGTCGAACGAATGAACGGGCGAATAAAGTGGTACAATAAAAAAATTTAAGTACAGTAAAAAATTATAGACTGCATTTTCTAGTTTTAATTACTGTAATTCGACCGGGTGAACATAAATAATTGTATGAGTATATATTGCACGATAAATCATACTTTATGACAGTTTGTGTAAAAAGTAGGTAGGTACAATAACAATTGGTTGCAAGTGATAACATTTTAAAATTTTTAAAAAATCTTTCTCAAAATTTTGATATTTTTTAGTTAAATTTTCCTAAAACATAATATAAAAGATGTTTTTAATTTGTATAGTCGACAGTCAAAAATTTCCAAGTCAAGTGTTGGCATATTTTTAATGGAAAATAAGCTTGTTGAACAATAGTTAGCTTGATTTTATTTTACCGATAGTTTGCACATTACTCTTTATATCCGCTATTTTCTTAAAAAGCAAACACACACTCGACAAAAGGCTTTACAACAGAATATCTGACAGAAAACGGTTACACTTCTTAGTCATAGGCAACACAGCGAACATCCCTTTTGATGGCGAACACTGTTCAACGCTTTACCAACACGTTGTCGAGATGTGGTTTCACTGTGTTAATAAAAATGTTATTATGTTTTCCAACCTCGAACGATCGACACATAAGGTTAAGTAAAATGTTATGCCTTTTACAATAAGTTTTGCCAATGTGTAAACTACTACAACTGACGGCGCTCGCGTGCGTTTCGCTGGCCGCCGGTTCGTGTATACAGTGTATATTATGTATAATATTACATGTAAATCGCGCACCCAACAAGCTCGTCGGGATAAGCAGTTCGCGGCGTGCGCCACTGAATCTCGTCGGCCCGTAAGGTGGTTCCGTGACACTGGACCGGCGAGAAAGTAGTAGCCCGCCCGGTGTCGGAGGGAGAAAAAGCGCGTTCCCCACCGGAGCGGCGGTCAGTACATAACGAGCGGACTTGCGTGCCCCGCAGTCAGTCTACCTGAGCCAAATCCAATTCGAGTAACGACAACCGAGTAACGACAACACCGCAGCGACCAGCAGCATGAGGGGACTACTGTACGCGGCGTGCGTGTTCGGCCTGTGCGCCTACGCTCTGGGCGCCGCCGAAGAGGCCGCGAAGCCGGCCGAAGACAAGACGGTTGCCGCCGCCGCCGCCGCCGACGACAAGAAGACGGACGACAAGACGCAGGGCAAGAGGAGTCTGTTCGACACGGGCTACGGCTACGGGTCCGGTTACGGTTACGAGTCCGGCGACGACTACCACGGTCACGGTCACGTCATCTCCAAAACCATCGTCAAAGAAGTCGCGCACCCGTACCCGGTGCACGTGGAAAAGCACGTGCCGTACCCCGTCAAGGTGCACGTTCCCGTGGACAGGCCGTACCCCGTGCACGTGCCCAAGCCGTACCCGGTGCACGTAGAGAAGCCGGTGCCGTACCCGGTCAAGGTGGCCGTCCCTCATCCGTACCCGGTCTACAAGGAAGTCCCGTACCCGGTCAAGGTGCCCGTCGACAGGCCGTACCCCGTGCACGTGCCCAAGCCGTACCCGGTCTACGTAGAGAAGCACGTGCCGTACCCTGTGGAGAAACACGTGCCGTACCCGGTCAAGGTGCCCGTCGACCGCCCGTACCCGGTCCACGTACCCGTCGAGAAGCACGTCCCGTACCCGGTGGAGAGGCCCGTGCCCTACCCGGTCAAAGTCCCGGTCGACCGCCCGTACCCGGTCACCGTAGAGAAGCACATCCCGTACCCCGTGGAGAAGCCGGTGCCGTACCCAGTTGAAAAGCACGTGCCGTACCCGGTCAAGGTTCCAGTCAAAGTCGAGGTTCCGGTGCCGGTGCCGGTCAAACACCACGACTACCATCATTACGACAGCCACGACGAGTACGAACACGGCAGCAGTTACTGAGCGGCACAGCCAAGACTCGCCTGTTACCAGATATTCTAAAAAATTTTTAAAAAAAACTAAGAGGTTACCATCACCTTTAGCGTGTTAAGTACTCCTTATTTTTCATTATTTTGTGTATATATAGACCATTTGAATTATTACATATTTTATAAAATCAAAACTAATTTTAATTTGAATACCGGAGCGCAAAGCCTTTTCTTTTCGCTCCGACTGTTGCCAAATATAATATTATCGTTTTCCAACGAAACGTCAATAAATTTGTTTTTTATGTAAATATAAAATATTATTTTTTTACTTTTGTACTCTCCCACGTATTTTCCTTACTCGAATACACGGTCACAAAGGTAAAAACAAAAGCAAATAATACGTTGTACGGCGTCTAGCTTGTTTGTGATAATTGTAAGCATCGCATATTTATCAACTGTCAGAAAAAAATAATAATAATCTATTATACTATACACTATTGATTTTCAGCGTGAACTCGACGTGTCATCGGTAAAAAAGAGACCGCTATATTAGAATAAATATTAATTTTATTGAGGTATGGACCGTTTAGGATGGACCGAAAATATATTATCCCCTATATCCAATAGGCATGCTTAAAACTATTGTGTTGTAGTATAGGTAAGTGCACTACACACGCATAGGTGTCGAAATCGCTCGGGGCGTTGCATAAGCACGACGAGCCGAGTTCAAATGGCAGTGTAATAATCGTAACAACAACAATGACAGTAATATAGTTATTACTATACGCCTATTATATGTTAACGGGTCGCCGCACATATCTATTTTGTAAATAATAGTCGTGCAACGTCTATTGCGATGACCGAACTCGCCGGACCGTACTAGTCGGGTGAGTCTCAAATCTCAAAATACCGAACCGCCGCTTTTCGGCTTTAGGTCTACTGCATTCATAATAATGTATAAGTTCGTCGTGACCATTATAAGAACAGTGCACCTGCCCCGAGGGCACATTGTCGCTGGGAAATAATATAACATGTAATTATGTGTATTTTAAGTATGTGCCGTTTATGTAACAATCTGTCCGAAATAATTAGGCCACCGCGGGGTTACCCCCAGACCGGCCACTGCGCGGTTACACAACCAATTATTATTATACTTATATTACCATCGTAGTTTTTATTTTTCATTTCATACACTCTTCGGCCGAGCGGTTGTGCCGCACACTATAATATGCATAATATGTCCACATCTATCTTAGTGTATGCTACGTATTGTGGTGTGTACTTGCCCTATCTCTGTGGAGCAGCCGCCGACGATGGTGTACCCAACCGTGAACGCACACGATCCTCCACGAGCCTTGCAATCCTCGCAGAGGATGACGAAACGTTAAGAAATCGAAATAATATCTTTAAGTTAACTTCTGTTGTATACGGTGTACACACGGTTAGGTTAGGCAGAACGGATTGCAAGCACAATGTACAATGGTCACCGTGTACGTGCGGCCTCACAAAGTAGCAACAGTAATAGTAGTAATAATAATAATAATAATGATGATGTACGCCGGTCGGTCGGTCGGAATGACCCGTGATGATCACATAGTTATTATCTCCTACATGTGTTGGCTGCACAACATCTTTTACTGTGTGCAACATCTCACACAAGAAGCAAACGCCTAAACTATGGTAAACGGCCTAACGGTAATTGTTAACCGCGCTATTTCCCGCGTATCAGGTAATCACTTCAAAGCTGTACAATAGTTTTTATCCTTCAAGCTAAATCTTCAATAACTACTCGGCTCGTTATCAATTTACAGCTCTAAACCGAAAAGCTTAAAACCCAGTTCTACCGGTGAAAATACAAGACCAAGTTCTACCACGCATGGTAAATGTTAGTGTGGCAGAAAATGTCTTATGTATTTCTATGACGTTTTATTCAAACTTGGGTATTCCCATTAGTACAATATAATGTAGTACTTATATACTTTATAATTAATCTTCCTTTTTTGCATTGTCCCATAAGAGTGTAGATAATTCCCGCCTCCTATTTACCTGAATTTTATAGTAGTGCTTATTCGCTTCTCACCATCACAATGAGCACTTAAAAATATTTACCTTTACACCGATTTGAAATGTCTAAGTGTTTTTTCGAACTCGAGAGTTGTTTAATTTTTAATATAATTAACTGTACATAATCAAATCGGTAGAATTCATAATCATTTTTAATTGAGTATAAATTATTGATCTGGAATGAGTGTCACCCGCATTTAGTGCCATTTCATTGCCGTTTTTTTTTTGCGAAGAGTTTAAAAAATAAAAAATTAACAATTACTTTTATACCAGTATCTACCGGTATTGGTACAATGAATAAAAGTATAAAAAAATAATGTTCATTCCGAATTTCGATCAACATATTATTATGATATCTTATTGCACAACAATGAACACTGCAGACGGTCCAAGGACAAGATATTACAATCGTGCCCAAGTCTTACGATATTTTCGACCACAGACCAACCAGGCAGATGTGTTTCCCCAACTCTGCCAGTCAGTGCCACTTTGGACGGTGATAATTTGTGCAGCTGAAAATGTAGATGGCCAAATCACTTGTAAATTTGTATTACACCTTAAGCTTTCAAATATAATAATTAGTGACTGTGCCGTTAGCACGTTTGGCAAATGTATGTTTTTACTTTTATATTAATGCGCCATTCGACTAACCATTCGAGTATTATGTGTCGGTAAAATATACACAATTGTATATTAATGACTAGCGAAACAAACATATAGTACGTCGTGTAACACACACAGACTTGGAGTAATCGTTTACCATTAATGATTTTATTGATTAAACAGTAACGTCATACTATATGGTCTTAGGTGGTTACACGATGTAAGCAATTAGCTACTTCCTATACAATACACACATTCGCATTCATTATATTATGTGTGAACGCATAATAGCTATAACACAATTACATATAAATAGGTAAGACTCGTCGGTAAACCGGCATCGCTCTTATAGTGTTTCCACCGCGACTTTCAACTCCTATTAAGGGAATAAAACAGCCGGAAACAATAATATGATAACATATAATAATTATTATTAACGTTACAGAAGCGGTTTCGTGAACGTTTTGTCGAGAACCGCTCAATACCTCTTAGGGGGGTTAAATAAGAAATGTATACTGTTTTAATACATAATGCGATCTCAATTTTTTTAACCCCCTCCCAACATGGTCTTTTTGATAGCAACTTTTGAAACTTAAACAGTAACGCATACGTTTCGTTAAAATGTTGACAATAAACATTTTACACTGGTCGATAAACAGCTTTGGATAGGTATTTTTGAAGTTATTGAAGTTTCAAGTTTAGGGCACGAGGAAAGGTGAATTACTGTGGTATTATTGTGAGCACTTCCCCTGCCATCCTAACTTTTAAAACAAATTAAATTTCTTATTAAATCCAATGAGATATTGAGTGGTTCATGTCGGCCCTTCTGCGGTTGTGTTACATACTGTACAATTGACAAATATAATATTGAATAACGTTATTATAGAAAAAGGAAAGTAAGGAAAGCAAATTCTCGTTATCAGCTTAACGCCATCGATCGCGCGTCTAGATAACAATATTAATTACATATTATATTGTTTACACATCTCGTGGCTGTGTACTCGTTCCAAGATGGAATTAAACGATGAACAAACAGTAACAACAGTAAAACTGGTAATAATATAATATACCCAATATATTGTGTATAGGACGAAAAATTATTATTGTAAAATGTTTTTATAATTCAACGGGTATCAATTTTGAGTACAAACACACTCACACGCAGAAAGTATGTCAATGCATACAATACATCAACTGCACATAATATACAGGGTGATATGCGATGAAATAGTAGAATTTCAAAAATAATTTTCATAATTACCGTACAAATAGGTATGCATAACCACCAATTACCGGGCGAGGTTGAACCGAGGGAGAATATTGTGGTTTTTTTTATTGTTGTATATTTATATACATTAATCGAATCAACGTGTAACCTAATTCCCAGTGATTGAAAACGTATACCATATTCAATACATACCATAATAATCCTTGTGTTAATATATTGTGATTTTCTTGTGATATAATAATTCATGTACAAAAAAATATACATTAAAAGAAATAATCTAATTTATATGTTACTCGTCCGTGCACACACAATATCACATATATCTAGTCAATTTTAGTAGTTTGTATAGAGGTAAAAAAAAAAAAAAAATACAACATGATTACCCCTCGCTTCGAGCGGGAATAAAGTAATTGAAAATTAACACCCATTGTTGTATTCCAATGCCATCGTAATTCGATTTTCTATTTTAATTTTTTTTTTCTCATGACACTTTTTCTGTGCTTAACGGTGTTGGAAATAATCGTCCAAATCTTCGGATAACACAATACTGTTATTATTATTATCGTGCGAGAGCGCATATAACAGCAACGTCGCATGTTATAATATCAGCATGTGCTAATTGGATGGGAAACTCAACCAGGTGTTTCTCAATCGGCAAACCGGCAATACATGCGATACTTAAGTACATATTTTTGGCCGGAAAACGGACGTGCAAGTTTCGATTGGGTTTTCGCGGTTATTTTTCAATTTTCATCTTGTGATACGTCACTCTTTGTGTGTACACACACACACACACAAGTCGTATACGTTGTCGTTGTTATCATTATTCCACCCCACCCCCTCCCCACCCCCACTGTATAATATCCATTCGGAAAACCCACTGAACCGAACATCATATACCGACGGCGGCGTCCGTTTCCCGGATACCGGAAAACGCGTATTAACGACAGGCCTTGGAGCAGGAGGGGGTTGGGGCTAAGAACACACAGATACGGATAGACACATTTCGAGGGAGATCCGCACCCGACGGGGGGGGGGGGGGGTGCTGGTAAGTATGGACGTCTCGGACACGCCGTGTAATCCGATCGGGCCGCACGCAGTGTGACGTCACCTATCAAACTTCATCCCTCCGGCACCCCACCCTTGTTGCCGCCGGTTTGTGTGTATAGAATTTTGACAACTTGACACGAGCAAAGGGGGTCGCGCGAGTCACCGTCGGACTTGACGGACCGCGACCCGGCGACCGGCACCCGGTTAAGGTCAAATGCACACACAAAGTGTACACAAGCATTCTAGTCGATGATGGACATACACACGGCAACAATAGTATACAACGCAATAGTATACAACGTCGTCATCGTATCTCTAATATTACCGAAAACGTGCACTTCTCCTTGCCGCCCCTTCCGTGTCGTCTTGG